CTCGCCCTAAGCCCATGCCTCGGCCTGCGTTTGGGTTTTGTTTAGCCGGTGGCCTGGGGGCGGGGCCTCAAATGCGAGTGAGCCTTGGGGAGGGAAGAAAGGCAGAAAAAACAGAGCTCGAAAGCCCGACGACGACGACGACTATTGCTACTATACTGATCGTCTTCTTGTGATTGTTACTACTACTCATGACAATGCTGCCCAACTGGTGGAAGCTTCTTATAACGATATTTAGAATTGGGGGCTCTGAAATCCCAAAGGTGCTAAAGGAGTGCAGCAGAGGAGCTCGACGTACTCGAGCAGCAGGCATGCAGTATCTTCCTGACGGCCGCGCAACGGTCTTTGGGGGCAAGGTCTGGCTCTTGAGAACTACTACTACTACTACTCCTCCTCCTCCTCCTGCTGCTGCTGCTGCTGCTGCTGCCGCTGCTGTTGCTGCTGCTCCTGCTGCTGCTCCTCCTCCTCCTCCTACTACCACTACTACTACTACTACTACTACTCCTCCTCCTCCTGCTGCTGCTGCTGCTGCCGCCGCTGTTGCTGCTGCTCCTGCTGCTGCTCCTCCTCCTCCTACTACTACCACTACCACTACCACTACCACTACCACTACTACCACTACTACTACTACTACTACTACTACTACTACTACTACTACTACGACTACGACTACGACTACGACTACTACTACTACTACTACTACGACTACGACTACGACTACGACTGCGACTACTACTACTACTACTACTACTACTACTACTACATCTACTACTCCTCTTCCTCCTGCCGCTGCTGCTGCTACTACTACATCGTACTATTACTACAGCGACGGTGCCTCTCCCTGCTTCGCTGGCTCAAGGCGGGCTTCGAACCAGTTGCTCCTTACAGGGTTTCCGGGTGAGGTTTAGATTGCGAAGATCGCTTGATTCGGGAAGCCGCGTAGCGGTTGATTGAGGAGCTGATGAAGAAGTTAGGAGTTTCCCCGAACCAAGATTGCGTTTGGAGATTCATGAGGCCTTCGGGTAGTGATTACGATCAATACGTTTGCCTGTAACATTGTTTGGTGTGGTCATAGTACACCTTCAGGGATTGAAGATTCTGACAACTTGCTGCTTGAAGAAAAAAGAAGCAAAATTCAGGCTTGACAGGAATGCACTACGAGCTGATCTCTAGGCCCTAAACCTTGATGCGGAGGTGCCTGTAGTCTTCTGTCGTCTTTTGTATGGGGTGAACGCTTTGGGTCTGAAGCACTCGAGTTGAGGATGCAGTTTGGTGTCGTCAAACTTTCTCATGTTTTGGACCTGCGGTCTTGCGACTGGAGAGCTGCTGGGTTTCGGGCTCACAGGAGATATGTCCTGTCCTGGTTTCCACAAGCTTGTGTAAAATGACGTAGGCTCGATATCTGCAAGTCAATCGGGAGGCTTTCGCAAGCACGGCGTGATCTATCCGGTGAGCAACAAGGAACAACTTGATATGAGATTGCAAAGACCATGTCGCAAGATATCACTACTCAGAGCTTCTGAGGCCTCTGAAGACACGGCCACAGCCTTTACACTTAACACGGCCTCAGGCACAGCTGTGCGGAACTAGATGGACTGTCACGTTCAGAAAACTGAGCAAGCTGTATTGTCTTGATGCTCCTGCCACGAGAGTGTGAGCGACCAGTGTGTACGATCTCGTGAGGTGCCCGACCAAGGGCAAACTCGAACAGAGCCAAGGCGCTGCAGGCAGTGGGGGCCGTAGACGCCCTTCCCTCCTCTAAGGGAATTGGCAGCCATGCCATGTCAAGCCTGCTCACTTTGCGACGGTTTGTTGAAGGCACTGATGTAAACAGGTAAGTGCAAAGACAGAGGTACATACAGATATGTATATATGACTCGCCCTCGAAGGTACACATACAGAATTTTGAAGCTCAATGCCCGAGAAATTTAGGGACATCGGACTGCCTTGAGTATTCGTCAGTGAAACATCGTCGTGTTCTGAACACGAATCACACACCGCAAGCCCGGAAAATCTTAAGCCCCCTAATGGTTCCGCGAGTCTGCTAGTCCTTGAAGCCGAAGCCCTGAACCGGGATGTGATTTTTTCACCCGACTCATCATCTAGTAAGGCAGACACCCGTAAGTCGCAAAATGCCGCATACGTATTCCAGCTTGGGGTGCCCAATTCGTCTCCGCAACACCCCATGCGCGAGACAGTAATGGATACTTGGCGGACCACTCGAGCCATAGGCACAGCCTGAAGCAACCACCCGATCACTGGAGCGCCACGTTGGAAGATCCCATGGATCCCCAAGCGCCTGTACGAAATTTTGGGTTTGGGGGTTTACTCGGTCGAATCCTGACAACCCCCCTCCCAGGGCATCCTGCCTTTCCGGCCCTGGGTGTCATCTTCGATAGCTACTTTTACTTGAAATGAAAACACGGCGAGGCGGTGCACACATGAGAGTGAAACCCTGAATGCCCAAATAATCAACCCCAAGTGCTTGTGGTGCTGACGTGATGTCAATGTCTACGGCGTCTCCACGATTGAACTCTCAACCGCCTCCTCCTCTGTTCTGAAACCTTCCGACCCAAGGCAATCCAGACCCCGTTATAGACCGTAAGTTTTAAGCCTGAAGCCGCAAAACAAGTCGTTCCTTGGAGATTTCTCTGTTAGACATTGCCTCGGACAGCTTAGATCCAATTGCACTGAACTCGGGCAGGCCCAGGTCTGTTCGAGTTTAAACCCAGCAGCCCGAGAAGAAGGTTGCGATGCTAAGAATCCAATCTACCCGAAGTCCCTATAGTACTATAGGATCTCAATCTGCATTCCCGGCTGGACAGTTCCTCACTCTGCATTGTTCAGCCCTGAACTGAAGAGGCTGTGATCCAATTCAGTTGTAGCTTAGTAACAGCACTGCGATTGGTGCCGTTGCGGATAATGGTGGGGATGATGACGATGAAAATGGAGATGACGCTGGTAATGGAGATAAGATGAAGATGATGACGTTGATGATGATAATGATGGTGATGATGATGATGATGATGATGAAGCTGAAGATGACGATGATGATGATGATGATGATTCAACGATGATCATGATCATGATGGGTAGAGGCTGGACGCACAAATCGATCGCCCTGGGAGCTGCAAAGCTGCCCATCCATTCGCTGCTGAGGCATCGGCAGTGAGAGTGTACGGCAGCGCCGGAGCTGCTAAGAAGTCCTGGCATCAGCTGCCAAGTTGCCACCAAAACCATGCATGAGATGCGTGTTCGCACCCGCCGTTCAAAGAGAAGCTAAGACGCCCACATCGCGGAGTCCCTCCATCCCGAACCAAATCGAACGGACGGGGTCTGCAGGTTTCGGCTTCAAGGTTTAGTCGAGCGCAGAGGCTCAGAGTTTAAGATCTGGAGATGGCTTGGGCACTTCCGGTTGAGGCTGTAGCGATTTATGTGACTCTGTGAGATCTGGAGGTTGACAGGAAGGTATGACCGCATGTTGACGCACGTGAGCCTAGCTCGGCAACCTCGACAGCAGCTTTACAGGAGGGCCGCGGTTACAATTGGGAAGACATTGGACCTGGGGCTCCTTTTTGAGTTAAGGGTTCAATGTCGTTGTAGCGCCCAGGAGATGGGTTTTACTGTCTTTGCTCTGCCCGTAAATATTACACGACAATGGGAGCCCCCCCCTCATTTGTGCAGTACATTGCAGTGTTGGCCGCTGACTACCTAGCAAAAAAGCCACTATACAAACGACGACGACATCCAAAACTATTGAGATGCCGACATGAATCTCACCGAGATCTGATGCCTCCAAAGTGGGAGCCGGCGTGGCAACGGAATCCTGTCCAGGAACCCCTAAACCCTAAACCTCAAAGTTTCGTTCCATCACCGCGGATATGGGCTTCTTGCTCAGAGTAGAGGATTCGCTTGCTGGCAGTGTGCCCTGGTGGGCGAGGCTCCCGCTGTGATTCACAAGTTCGTGTGGGTGGTCAAGTCCAGGCCATTTTCGCCCTTACAAAAGAGTTCAGGGTCAGGGGTTTAGTGAAAAGAGCAATTATGTTGACACTATTGTGGTGGTAGCACGATCTTGACATTCATGGGCATTGTTGCCGTTAAACTCGGAATGACTGTCTTTGCCAGTACAACCTGTTAGTGTCAGCTTCATCAACGCTCTTACCGGTCACGCTGCATGGCTATGACCAACATCTACCCACTATCAGGATTTTCAGTATCACTACTGGCTGCCATGACAGGTACCACTGTTATTCTTTGTTGAGCACAGTGACCGTCAGTGTCATGCGGCTACAAACGTATATATCTGTATATCCACACATGAGTTTTGACGTGCTTTTTCACTGCGGGGAAAAAAGCGGCGAGCCGTTAGCTATCCTTAGCTGCTTTCATCTTCTATAAAGAAGTCTCAGTAACCTCGTCCTGGATGCTAAATCGGCCTGAGCTTCTCTGACGCAAACCTGAACCTCTTTTGACTCACTACAAGTGTCAGCTCTCTTTTTGTGCCACAATCTTCCCGTCCTTGCAGCTTCCTAGACACTCACTCGTGCCTAGCTTTTTTTTGGGCTGCAAGCCAGGTCCCAAGCCCCACATGCAGCGCGAATTCGAAGACCCAATGGATTCTGCCTGTGTGATCATGAGCGGGGGGCAGTTGAGAATTTCGGTCGTGGAAACAGGGTTCGAGCTTGGTGTGAGTAAGTTCTCAATCGCGGGCTTCGATATTGAAATCCTTTTGTCGGGCTTGTGCAGGATTGAAGGATTTTGGTGCTGGGGGTGGGGGGGCTGGCGGGGAGGTGGCCTGGGGCTGTCAGCACTCCTTTCACTACTGCTGCCAGTGGATATGCTGTTCTTTCAGGCAGTGTGTTATTTCCATGCTGCAGAACTCGACATGCCTCTTCAAAACTCAAAGCTGCTACTGCACTGCTACTTGCAGGCATGAATCCACACCCAAAGGCGCCAAGACCGGAAAGACGAAACCCGACCTCAAACTCCTGCATACGGGGGGCTGCTCACCCACCGCTTTGACAGAGACACCGGCCCGGCCCTCCACTGCGAGGTGGAAGGCCAAGATGTTCTGGACCGGGGTACCTCCGAAAGGAATACTGTCGGCACTCTGCTTGTGGGCAGGGCTTCGGGCTCACCGGTGGCATGGCATGTGCGGTGGTATTGCATGTCACGTAGGATTTTAAACCTCAACTGGTGCATCAGGATGGCTATTGAGCGCGAGGTTTGCATTGTTGGCAGTCTAGCTGCAACTGCAACTTGCTATACTAGCGGCTTTCTATGAGTGGCTGAGCCTGATGAACCACCGCCAAAATCCTGCCCAACCAAATCCTTTCTTACCAGAAAACACAACTTGCCAGAGCCAGCAATGATCCATTCGCACAAACCCTGATTAGAGTGCATGTAACCCTCAACCCCAAACCTCTCTCAACTCTCAACCCTGTCTAAAACCTTCAGAAGTTCAAAGTGCGACATTGTCGGATATGACAGGCTACGGGGCGCAGACATCAGCATGCATCGCTTCCGGTCCTGCTTCCCTACCTACCCCTTGAAGCACGGATCCGACATCCCAAACCGCGAAGGATCTTAACAAGGTGTGCAACAACGGAGTATAGACGGTATATCTGCGATGTTATCCTCCAAGTTTAACTTGAATGATAAAGCAATGATCCGGGCTTAGAGGTTGTAGAACGCCTTGAAACCAAATACTTCAACCAGGCTGCTGCCGGACCAGCCCGTCTTGGGCAGCCGACACAGCAGCTCGCGCTCGCGGCTGCGCAGCGCGTGCTGCTCCTAGGCTTCAGGGCTTCTGGGGTCTTGGACTCAGGGGCTGCTGGTTCGGGGCTTCCTTGCCAGGATGTTTCATGGCATGCACAGCGCATACGCCGTCCGGCCTCGGGTCGCGAGTTCCAGGATTGGGGTTCCAGGCTTGGGGCTGAAAATTCGGGCTTGCAGTGGGCCGATGCGGAAATTCAGGGTCCTCAGAGTACACCGGGCCTGTTGAGTTTGGATTTTAGGGTATATCGTGCTGTACATGCATGAGGTTCTGCGGATATTTTCCCTACTAGTGAATAGAGCTTCTGGAATACTTCGTTTTGAAGCTCCGAATCAAACACAAGCTACTAGTTGGCGAATTGGCCAGCCGAGAGATCCTCAGACAGCAGACTCCACATGGTCTTACTTAATCCCACACGTGGTCCCAAAACGGCAGAGTAGTTCCCGCAAGCGTTCAAGACCCTGCCTGAGCGCAGAGGCAAGCCACTTGGTTTGGGTTAGCATCGAGTGGTTAACAGCCGGACAAAAAGTTGTCGGTTTTCGACATTGAAGGCCTGCATCCAAGACCTTATCAGCTGGGTCCGGAATACATCAAACTTGCTACATACTGTTACATCGACGCACACTGAGGTCATTACGGAACGATGCTGCTGCTTATCCAGGCTCTTATAGTTGATCCTGGTTGGGGAATCCCGAAATTGAAACATCGCAAGCAAGCGTCACTGAGCATGAGCAACGTGAAGTGGAGCGGGCTGTCAATGCCGGGAGAGATGCCTCCCAAAGCAGGTTTTTGTGTTGCTGTCTCGCTTGTCATGCACTAATGCACTAATCATACCATTCCCAGGTTAGCGGGCAATACAACAGACGGGAGCACGAAATAATCCCTGGAGTGATCAATCGTTTCTTCGGCTGTCACGTGGAGATTTGGGGCCTTTGCGTCAACTAGCAGCAAGCGCTCCAGCAGCACATTTCCCACAGTAGCGGCAAAAGCTGTCCCACACACCCTTCCTAAGACGGGATTGGCTTTCTTTTTTCCTTGGGCCCTAGATGTCCGTTGGGAACGCACAGAGTGAGACCCGAACCGTGCCCCGCCGCAAAAGCTTGAGCCCGAGTACTGGAGACCCCATGGAGACCCGTGAATCCTCTGCCTTGCTGCAAGCAGGTGTCCCAGAGAGCAAAGGCCGACTCCCATTTACTGGAGTTCCTCGGAGGCTGGGCATCAACATGTCGGTAGCACTATCTGTGTGTGCAAGTCATGAAACTGTTGATGCTCCTGTGGCCTTGATGAGTAGCTGGATTTGCTTTTGCTGTTGTTGCTGCTACCATTACCAGCGACGATGCAGGCTTCCTTCCTTGTTATTGGCTGCCCTATCTAGTCAGACAGTGTTTTTATTGGCTCTCAGCGCAAAGGGGCGCTCGGGAATGAGGTTTAGGGACTCCGACTGTCAAGGGAAAAGGCCATGGGTCTAGGGTTCAAGATGTTGTGTTTGAGGTGCTAAAGGTTTTGGGACCAGGGAGCTATAGAGTTTTGTGCATTAATTGCGAGTGCAGGCACGCATGCAACCAAGCAGCGTGCATGCGAGAACGGCCGCGCTGTAGCTGATCTCATCCGCCACAAGCTTCAGCGTCGGCAAGCCCTGAGTGCGTCATATATTTCTTGATTGAACTGCGTGCACACTTTTTTCCAATAAGTGGTTTTGTCTGTTCCTTGATCCTTAGGTCTCCTTCTCCTTGTCCTCCGAAGGCTGCATCTACTATTCCCTGTTGTGCTGTTGCAAGTACAACGAGTTTTGCACTGCTAACCCAGCAACAATATACCTATAATGTGCCCAGGGTGTCCGCCTCTTGATGCGGGTCTCAAGGAAAAAGTGCCACCAATCAAGAGCTTCATGATCGCGATGAACGCCATTTTGCAGGAAGGTCGCTGCAAGCAGCCGCAGCGCGAGCTCCCATTGAAGGCCTTTCCTTGGCGCTTGTAGCTTCATCTGATTGACCGAAACTTGTGCCTCCTGGTTTTCGAAGCCGAAAGCGTCGACCAAACATGGGAGTTCTGAAACTTGCCACCAACCTTCATGAAAAAAACTTCCCGAGGCCTATGAAGCAAGTGAAGTGCTGCAAGTTGTTTGGAAGATTCCATCTATTCCCCAGCCCGTTGCCCTCAAGCTTCTCGCAAGCGCTGATGCAGGAGTTGCAGGTGACCACAGTCGGGCACAAGCCTTGGCATGGCTGGGCACAGGCTGCAAACTTGAATAGTTGCAATTATCCACATAATCCGCAAGCACAATTCAACCGTCGGTTATTGAAGAGTCCAGGATACCTCCCCTAGGCCTTGAAGCTGACAGCCTCATTGAAGAGGCTTGCCCTACTACAGGAAAAGGATGCGATTCTTGCACAAGTTTAGCTAGGCAGCTAGAACCCTGAACGCTAAATCTGAACACCTCAATCCAAAGCTGAACTGCATCAGACTCTGAACCGTTCATGCTGATGAGTTTCGGATGTAGGATTCAGGGTGTTCAAGGGCTGCGCACTCCAGATTTGAATTTTGGCATCTCCGGTGCAACAATCAGGTTGCGAGGCTCCGCAATAAACGTAGCGGCGTTCATTGGCACTGGTAACCGCAGTAGTAACAGCAGGAATAGTGGCAGTAGTAGGTGCAATAGCAGTAGGAACAGTGGCAGTGGCAGTAGTAGCAGCAGTAGCAGTAGGACTAATGGCAGTAGCAGTACAAGCATTAGTACCTGCAGTAGCAGTAGGAGTAGTGCCAGTCGCACCTGCCACAGCACTAGCAGTAGTAGCACGAGTAGCAGTAGGAATGGTTGCAGTAGCCGTAGTAGCAGTACTAGCAGTGGTAGCAGCAGGAATAGTGGCAGTAGCAGTAGTAGCTGCACTAGCAGTAGTGGCAGTAGGAATAGTGGCAGTAGCAGTAACAGTTTAGCAGTAGTAGCAGCAGTCGCCGTAGCAGTAGCTTTAATCATAGGAGAGCAGCAGGCTTTCACTCGAAGCCTGGGAAGACACACACACACACACACCACTTGAGGGGAAGTCGAAGTAAATACGTCCGACTCACTGCCCTTATCCTCGTCAAGGGTTTAGAGCTCATGATCCGCGGTAGGGCCAATTTCATTCCGCTGTGGGTCCTCGCACGCAATAGCAAGCCACTTGCTGAACCATTTAGGGTTGAGTATTGGGTTTCGAGACACCAGCTTCAAATCACAAGCTTCCCCAACACCTCAACACCGCCAACATGTTCTCGCGGTGTAACGGCTTCATTTACTGATGTTTTGGGCCCTCAAGCCCCCAAGTTGAAACCCTGAAGCCGCAATCGAATCTTTGCAACTATTGGTTCGAGAGGCTCCGCTGTGGCAACAGGTCCTTGTCACGGGTATAGGTTCTGTAGAGTCTATTATATTAAATAATACGGCAACTCGCGAAACACGTTAAGCATTTGGATCCTTGCTATTAATGCTAGATAAATTGTTCATTACCTGGAGCAAAGCCATGCAATGCCTGTACCGCACCGGATCAATAGCAAATACATCCATGAGTGGAAGCTGATGGATGCCATAAGGACCTAACGACTGATGATTCGCGAGTGATAAAATGAAAGCGTCGGTCTTTGCAGCGAGGTTCGAACAAATCGTATCACAATGAGTTGCCCAAGCCCTAAAACTAGCTGGAAACTGCCTGGAAACCGTATGACGTGGTAGATCGTTGATGCCACAGCCAGGGCGGGCACGCCAAAGACTCAAGCGGCCAAATCCAAAGTCTTGGATCTCGTAATGCCAAGGCGCTAGTGCAAGCCTTGATTCACAACTCTCTGTCTTATATGCCTCACTGCGCAACAGCCACATGTTCAACAGCTTTGGTCACCCTGAAACCCTGAATCTGCTATATGACCGAAATCCTTAAACCCTATGTTTTTACACTAAGTCAGGAAATCCTAGCACCCACACGCCAAGCGGCACAAATCGCCAGGGCCATCTCCCACTCCCCTGCGCTCTCACATGCTGCGATGGCAGCATTGTGCGACACCACCTTCGCCGGAAAGGAGTTTGAAATGCTAGGCGGTCCAGCGATCCTGAGACTCCCTCAACATGCCTGCCACACGGGGTTGCAGGGTGTATTGTGTTATGGCTGCACGGCAACTCCTATTGAGATCTATGAATGGACATTACTTATCATCGCGGGGAGGGCCGACCCTATCGTCTACGCAGCCACTTGCAAGGACGACCCTGAGCCGCAAACCTAAACCCTAAACCCCAAAATCCTAAAACCCTAAAACCCTGAAACCCGAAAAACCTAAAGCCCTAAAACCCTAAACCCTAAACCCTAAAACCCTAAAACCCTAAAACCCTAAAACCGTAACACCCTAAAGCCCTAAAGGCCCTAAAGGCCCTAAAGCCCTAAACCCCAAGCCCTAAAACCCTAAAACCCTAAAACCCTAAAACCGTAACACCCTAAAGCCCTAAAGGCCCTAAAGGCCCTAAAGCCCTAAAGCCCTAAAGAGCTAAAACCCTAAAACCCTACAAACCTAAAGCCCTAAAGCCCTAAAGCGGTAAAACCCTAAAACCCTCAAACCCGAAAGCCCTAAAGCCCTAAAGCGCTAAAACCCTAAAACCCTAAAACCCTAAAAACCTAAAGCCCTAAAGCCCTAAAGCGGTAAAACCCTAAAACCCTCAAACCCTAAAGCCCTAAAGCCCTAAAGCGCTAAAACCCTAAAACCCTAAAACCCTAAAACCCCAAAGCCCTAAAGCCCTAAAGCCCTAAAGAGCTAAAGCCCTAAAACCCTAAAACCC